ACGATGGCAATTTTCAATCCTAGCAACTGTGAATTCTACCATTCTTCTATGAAGACATTATCTACTATATTGATAAGTTAAATGTGTTATTATTTAATAATGATATCTATGGTTAATGTCATGCAGTTAGCCTATTATGCCACTAAAATCCCCTGCTTGACAACCTCAGTATGTAATTTGGAAACCTAAATAAGAATTAAGTTCAATATTGTCTAATATTTTCACATCAATACTTTACAACATGGCATATGGGTAATTAGTCAAGCATTTTGATCAATATTTACAGGCTAACTTGACCACTTTGACAATAATTCTGAATGAGATTTGAGAATTTGTTTCTTTTGCTTTCTAGTACTACTTTTCTATAATTTTGAACTGAACGTTATTGCATTTATTGGTTTGAATTTTGTAAATTTGAGGTAGAAGGCTATGAGTTTAGTTTAATATGCCTTAAATTTAGAATCGAGTTATAACCATATCAAAATGTTATTTGATTTTCCTCTAATATAAAGACAATTAATGAAATCTCTATGTTTGAAAAAATAAAATAAAATTTGGACCCTGAGCACTTTTAAACCTATAGCTCATAGGTATTTACATTTTTTGCTAATTAAAAGATATAATTAATGTATTTTATATAGTCAACTAATTGAATTTGAGAGCTTTCAATTTTCTAGATATTTGAAATTGTTTTATTGCTCTATTTGTTATTTAGGTGTCACCTTTTGTAATTCTATTTACTGTTTTAGTCTGTTTTCATGCTGCTGATAAAGACATATCTGAGACTGGGAGGAAAAAGAGGTGTCATTGACTTACAGTTCAGTGTGGCTATAGAGGCCTCACAATCACGGCAGAAGGCAAGGAGGAGCAAGTCATGTCTTACATGGATGACAGTAGGCAAGGAGAGAGCTTGTGCAATGAAACTCTCATTTTTAAAACCACCAGATCTTGTGAGACTCATTCACTATCGTAAGAACAGTGCAGGAAAGATCCACCCCCATAATTCAATCAACTCCCACTGAGTCCTCCTACAACACATAGGAATTATGGTAGTCAAAATTCAAGATGAGATCTGGGTGGGAACAGAGAGCCAAATCCTGTCATTCCGTCCCTGCCCCCTCCCAAATCTCATGTTTTTACATTTCAAATCCAGTCATGCCTTCCCTTCCCAATAGTCCACCGGTCTTAATTCATTTCAGCATTAACTCAAAAGGCCACAGCCCAACGTCTCATCTGAGACAAGGCAAGTCCTTTCTACCTATGAGCCTGTAAAATTGAAATCCACCCCCACTGACTTCATGGGCTGGCATTGTCTGTGACTTTTCAGGTGCAAGGTGCAGGCTGTCAGTGGATCTACCATTCCAGGATCTGGAGGATGGTGGCCCTCTTCTCAAAGCTCCACCAGGCAGTGCCCCAGTAGGGACTTTGTGTGGGGGCTCCCACCCCATATTTCCCAGCTGCAGTGTCCCAGCAGAGGTTCTCCATGAGGACCCCACTCCTACAGCAAAGTTCTGACTGGGCAGCCAAGCATTTCCATGTATCTTCTGAAATCTATGCAGAAATTCCCAAACCTCAATTCTTGACTTCTGGGTACTCACAGGCTCAACATCTTGTGAAAGCTGCCAAGGCTTGGGGCTTCCACCCTCTGAAGTCAAAGTCCGAGCTCTACACTGGCCCCTTTCAGCCACTGCTGGACCAGCTGGGACACAGGACAGCAAGTTCCTAGGCTGCACACAGCATGGGGACACTGGGCCTAGAACATAAAAACACTTTTTTTCCCTATACCTCAGGGCCTATGATGGGAGGGTTTGTCATGAAGGCCTTTGGCACATGCTGGAGACATTTTCCCCATTGTCTTGGGGATTAACATTCAGCTCATTACTTATGCAAATGTCTGCAACTGGCTTGAATTTCTCCCCAGAAAACGGGATTTCCTTTCTCATCATATTGTTAGGCTGCAAATATTCCAAACATTTATGCTCTACTTCCCTTACAAAGCTGAATGCCTTTAACAGCATTCAAGTCAGCTCTTGAATGCTTTGATGCTTAGAAATTTCTCCCACCAGATACAGTAAATCAGAATGTGAAGATTCTATAACACCAAGCCAATTTAACCCAAAGAAGACTATCTCAAGGCATATAATAATCAAACTCCCAAGGGTCAAGCACAAAGAAACGATGCTAAAAGCAGCAAGAGAAAAGTAACAAATAACATACAATGGAACTCCAATACACCAGCAGCAGACTTTTCAGTAGAAAACGTATAGGCAAAGAGAGAGTGGCATGATATATATAAAGTGTTGAAGGAAAATCCTGTATTCTAGAATATTATAACTCACTGATACGGTTTGGTTCTGTGTCCCCACTGTAGGTGGGTTTTGGGATTCAGGGGAGTGCTCAGCCCACTCCCCAGTGGGCTCCAGGCTCTTGGTCTCTCACTCTCTCAAAAATAAGAGAGGGGACCATGGCAGTTATGCTTGTAAATACTGGACCCCAAACAGCTTTTGCAGGAAATGATTTACTTAGGTAGAGAAAGGGAAAAGGGAGAGGAAGAGAGAAAGCTTCCATGAGAGACTGTTTGGAAGGGGATCCCTGGCCGGGCGCGGTGGCTCACGCCTGTAATCCCAGCACTTTGGGAGGCCAAGGCGGGTGGATCACAAGGTCAAGAGATCGAGACCATCCTGGTCAACATGGTGAAACCCCGTCTGTACTAAAAATACAAAAAATTAGCTGGGCATGGTGGCACGTGCCTGTAATCCCAGCTACTCAGGAGGCTGAGGCAGGAGAATTGCCTGAACCCAGGAGGCGGAGGTTGTGGTGAGCCGAGATCGCACCATTGCACTCCAGCCTGGGTAACAAGAGAAAACCCCTCCTAAAAAAAAAAAAAAAAAAAAAAAAAACTCTGCCCCTTTGTGGGCCCGGAAAGCAGACACAGTCCCTCACCACTAAAATCTCGTGTTATATTGTAATCCCCAATGTTGGTGGAGGGAGCTGGTGAGAAGTGATTGAATCATGGGGGCAGATTTTTCTCTTGCTGTTCTCAAGATAGTGAGGTCTCATGAGATCTGGTTTTTTTAAAAGTGTGTAACACTTCTCCCTCGCCCTCTCTATCCTGGCAACAAGTGAGGACGTGCTTGCTTCCCCTTCATCCTTCTGCCATCGTAGGTTTCTGGAGGTCTTCTTAGCCATACCTTCTGTACAGAAGAAAAGAGGTTTAATGAAACAGTGGGAAAGTGAGTCAATTAAACTTATTTTCTTCACAAATTTCTCAGTCTCGAGTGGTTTTTTTAATAGCTGTTTGAGAAGAGACTAATTAATACAAAAAGTTGGTACCAGAGAAGTGGGGCATCGCTATAAAGATACCCGAAAATGTAGAAGTGACTTTGGAATGGGTAACAGTCAGAGGCTGGAGCAACTTGCAGAGTTCATACAAAGATGAGAAGATACGGGAAAGTTTAAAACTTCTTAGAGGATTGTTGAATGGTTGTGACCAAAATGCTAACAGTGATATGAACAATGAAGTCCAGGCTGAGGAGGTCTTAGATGGAAATGAGAAACTAATTGGAAACTGGAGTAAAATTCACTCTTGCTATACTTTAGCGAAGAGAATGGAAGCATTGTGCACCCGCCCTAAAGATCTGTGGAACTTTGAACATGAGAGAGATGATTTAGGATATTTGGTGAAAGAAACGTTTAAGCAGCAAAGCATTCAATTTGTAATCTGGCTGCTTCTAACAGTATGCACTCCTATGTTTTTGCAAAGACATGGTCTGAAATTGGAACTTATATTTAAAAAAGAAGTAGAATATAGAAGTTTGGAAAATTTGCAGCCTCACCATGTGGTAGGAAAGAAAAAAACACTTTCTGGGAAGGAATTTAAGCTAGCTACAGAAATATGCATAAATAAAGAGGAATCAAATGATGTTAATAGCCAAGACAATGGGGAAAATGCCTTTAAGACATTTCAGAGACCTTCATGGCAGCCCCTCCCGTCACAGGCCTGGAGAACTTGGAAAGAAAAACGATTTCATAAACCGGGCCCTGGGCCTGCTGCTCTGTGCAGCCTCCAGACATGGCACCCTACATTAGGGCCAGTAAAACTGCAACCATGGCTAAAAGAAGCCAAGCTACAGCTCACGTTGTTGTTTCAGAGGTTCCAAGCCCCAAACCTTGGTGGCTTCCACATAGTGTTGGGTCTGCAGGTGTGCAAAGGGCAAGAGTTGAGGCTTAGGAGCCTCCACCTAGGTTTCAGAGGATGTACGAAAACACCTGGATGTTCAGGCAGAAGTCTGGTGCAAGGGTACAGCCCCCATGGAGACCCTCTACTAGGGCAATGTGGAAGGAAATGTGGGGTTGGAATTCCCACACAGAGTCCCCACTGGGACATTGCCCAGTGGAGCTGTGAGAAGAGGTCCACTGTTCTCCAGACCACAGAATGGCAGATCCACTGACAGCTTGCCACTGTGCACCTGGAAAAGCCACAGGCACTCACTGCCAGCCCAGGAAGGTAGCCTCAAGGGATGTATCTCACAAAGTCACAGAGACAGAGCTGCCTAAGGCCTTGGGAGCCTACCCCTTGCATCAATGTGGTCTGAATGTAAGAAATGGTGTTAAAACAAGTTAATTTAAGATGCTAAGATTTAATGACTGCACTGGTGGTTTTTGGACTTATATGGCATTTGAAACTTCTTTATTTTGGCCAATTTCTCCCTTTTGGAAAGGGAGCGTTTACCCAATGCCTGTACTCCCATTTTACCGTACAAGTAACTAACTTCTTTTTTATTTTACAGGCTCATAGGTGAAAGAGGCTTACCTTCTTTCAGATGAATCTTTGGACTTGGACTTTTGAGTTAATGCTGAAATGAGTTAAGACTGGGAATCTGTTGGTGTAGCAGGAACGGCCAAAGGAAATGGATCTCTCGAACACTGAATGGAGAAGGAAGAAGTTTATTCAACCCAGGAGCCTGAGCAATAATTGGTCCAAAGCTCAGCTCCTCTAACAAAGAAAGGTTCCGCCTTTGCATAGGCTTATGCTTTAGAGATTACATGTGGAAGAATCTTGAGTTTACAGTCTTAGAAATCACATATGAAAAGGGTTTTGGTTTACAGCTTCAGGAATCACATATGAAAGGGTTACGGTTTACAGTTTTAGGACTCACATGTGAAAAGGTTTCGGTTTACAGCTTCAGGAATCACAAATGAAAGGGTTCCCGTTTACAGTTTTAGGACTCACATGTGAAAAGATTTCGGTTTACAGTTACAGGAATCACAAATGAAAGGGTTCCAGTTTACAGTTTTAAGACTCACGTGTGAAAAGGTCTCTGTTTACAGTTTCAGGAATCACAAATGAAAGGGTTCCGGTTTACAGTTTTAGGACTCACATGTGAAAAGGCTTCAGGTTTGATCTCGTTTTAAGTAAAAATAGTGTCTTCCAGAGAGTTTCCCCAAGACCAAGCCTGCCACCTACAGGAAGGTGAAACAGGAGGCGCCAGTGGGTCAGCATTTTCTTCTCTTCAAGTGCAGCATGATAGTCAATAGGAAGTTGATCTCAAATGCCTGGGTCTCCTCCCTCATTGGGAAGGTATGATTGTGTTTTGAAATACAAGATGAACACGAGATTTGGGTAGGGGCCACGGGTAGAATGATATGGTTTGGCCCTTTGACCCCACCCAAGTCTCATGTTGAATCGTAATTCCCAGTGTTGGGGAAGGGACCTGTTGGTAGGTGATTGAATCATGGCAGGGAATTTCTCCCTTGCTTTTCTCATAATAGTTTCTTCTCACAATATCTGGTTGTTTGAAAATGTGTAGCACTTCCCTCTTTGCTCCTTCTATCCCTCCTGGTGCCATGTAAATATGTGCTTGCTTGCCCTTAACCCTTATGCCATAATTGTAAATTTTCTGAGACCTGCTCAGCCATGCTTCTTGTATAGCCTGTGGAACTATGAGTCAATTAAACCTTATTAAACCTTTTTTAAAATATAAATTACCCTGTGTCAGGTAGTTCTTCATAGTAGGATGGGAATAGACTCATACATTGGTGAAAATATTCCTCAAACATGAAGGAGAAATAAAGGCTTCCTAGACAAATGAACATTGAGGGATTTCATCAATACCAGGCCTAGCCTACAAGAAATGCTGAAGGGAGTACTTCAGTTAGGAATAAAATGGTATTTATGAGGAATAAATAATCATCTGAAGGTACTAAACTCACTGTTAATAGTAGGTACACAAAAACCACAGAATATTATAATATTTAACTACATCATGTAAACAACTCTTAAGTAGAAAGACTAAATGATGAAGCAGTCAAAAATAACACCTTTTGAATACATAGTATAACAAGATATAAGTAGAAACAACAAAAAGTTTAAAAGTGTGGGAATAAAGTTAAAGGATCGTGTTTTTATTCATTTTATTTTGCTTGTTTGTTTATGCAAATAGTGTTAAGATGTTATCAGGTTAGGATAATGGGTTATAAGATAGTATTTACAAGTCTCATGGTAATCACATACCAAAAACATACAAGGGACCCACAAGAAACAGAAAGCAAAAAAAGTCAGTCATATCACCAGAGAAAATCTCCTTCACTAGAGGAATAAAGGAATAAAAGAAAGAAAGAAAGAGAAAAAAAGACCACAAAACAACACGAAAACACATAACAAAATGTCAGCAGTAAGTGCTTAATTATCAATAATAACATTGAATGTAAATGGACTAAACTCTTCAAACAAAAGACATAGACTGGTTGAAAGGATGGGAAAAAAAAAAAGCCCACTGATTTATTGCCTAGGAGAAACACACTTTACCTGTAAAGACACACATAGAATGAAAATAAAGAAATGGAACAGATATACCATGCCATTGAAAATCAACAAAGAGCAGGAATCACTATACTTATATCAGACAAAATAGATTTCAAGACAAATACTATAAAAAGAGGCAAAGAAGGTCACTATATAATGATAAAGAGGTCAATTCAGTAAGCAGATATAACAATTTAAAATAAATATGCTCTCAATACTGGACCACCCAAATATATAAATGAAATACTATTTGAGCTGAACAGAGAGATAGACCTCAATACAAAAATGGCTGGAGACTTTAGTATTTCACTTACAGCATTGGGCATATATTTTAGACAGAAAATCCACAAAGAACTATTAAATTTAATCTCCACCGTGGACCAAATGGATTTAATAGATATTTACAGGACATTTCATCAAAGATCTGCAGAATACGCATTCTTTTCCTAATCACATAGATCATGCTTAAAAATGGACCATACGTTAGATCACAAAACAAGTCTTAAAACATTCACAAAAATTGAAATAATATCAAACACCTTTTATGACCACCATGGACTAAAACTAGGAATGAATAACAAGGCAAATTTTGGAAACCATGCAAATACATGGAAATTAAATAATGTGCTTCTGAATGAATAGAGGGTCAATGAATAAGTAAGAGAAATATTGAAAAAATGTTTTGAAACAAATGATAATGGAAACACAACATACCAAAACCTATGAGATACAGCAAAAGCAGTACTGAGAGAGAAGTTAACAGCTGTAAGTGCCTGCATGAAAAGGAGAAAAAGCTTCGAATAAACAATTCAACAATGCATCTTAAAGAATGAGAAGAAAAGAATAAGCCAAACCCCAAATTAGTAGAGAAAAAAATAATAATAAAGATGAGAGCAGTCATAAATAAATTTTAAATAAAAAACTACAAAAGATTGATGAAACAAAAGTTGTATTTTTTTAAAGATAAACTAAACTGACAAACTTTTAGCCAGACTAATGATGAAAATAAGAAAATAAATCATAAATAAATAAATAAAATTAAATAAAAAGAAACTACAACTGATACTGAAGAAATTCAAAGGACAATTAGTAGCTATTTTTTCAATAAATTGGAAAATATAGAAATATTTTCCAAAATATTTTCCAGTTATTTTCTAATAAATTGGAAAACATAGAAAAAAGAGACAAATTTCTAGATACATACAATCTATCCTGATTGAACCAGGAAGGAAGCCAAAACCTGAACCTACCAGTACCAAGTAATAAGAGCAGTAACAAGTAAATACAAAACCTGAGCCTACCAGTAACAAGTAATGAGCCATAAAAAAAGTCTCCCAGTAAAGAGAAACCAAGGACCTGATGCCTTCAATGCTGAATTTTATTAAACATGTAAGGAAGAACTAATTGTAATACTACTCAAACTTTTCAAAAAATAGAAGAGGAGGAGGAGGGAATATTTCCAAACTCATTCTACAAGGCTAGTATTACCTTGACACCAAAAACTGATGAAGAAACATCAAAAAAAGAAAAGTACAGGCCAATATCACTGTTAAATATTGATACAAAAACGCTCCACAAAATACTAACAAACTTGATATAACAATACATTAGAAAGATCATTCATAATGACCAAATGGGATTTATTCCTGGGATGCAAGTGTGGTACAACATATACAAATCAATCGAAATGATACATTACATCATCAGAATGAAGAACAAAAAATATGTGATTATTTCAATTGATACTGAAAAGGCATTTAATAAAATTCAACATCCCTTCATGATAAAAACCATCAAAAAATAGAAATAGAAAGAACATACCTCAACATAACAAAAGCCATATATGGCAGACCCATAGCTATTATCATATAGAATGGGGAGAACCTGAAAGCCTTTCCTCTAAAATCTGGAACATGATAAGTATGCCCACTGTCACCACTGTTATTCGACATAGTACTGGAAGTTCTAGCTAGAGCAATCAGATAAGAAAAAGAAATGAAAGGCAGCCATATTGAAAAGGCAGAAATCAAATTATCCTTGTGTGCTTAAGATATGATCTTACATTTGGAAAAACCTAAAAACTCCACAAGAAAATTATGATAACTGATAAATTTGGTAAAGTTGCAGTCTAAAAAACTCAACATACAAAAATTAGTAGTATTTCTACATGCCAACAGTGAAAAATCTAAAAAAAAAAAAAAAAAATCAAGAAGGTAATCTCATTTATAATAGCTACAAATAAAATTAAATTCCAAAGAATTCACCTAATCAAAGATGTAAATGATCTGCACAATGAAAACTATAAAACACTGATGCAAGAAATTGAAGAAGACATAACAAAATGGAAAGAGATTTCATGTTCATGGATTGAATGAATCAATACTGTTAAAATGTCCATACTAACAAAAGCATTCTACAGATTCAATGTAATTCATATTACTATTCCACTGACATTCTTCACAGGGAAAAAAAAAATCCTAAAATGTCTATTGAACACAGAATACCCAGAATAAAAGTTATCCTAAGCAAAAAGAACTAAACTGGAGGAATCACATTACCCACTGTATGTTATCATGCTGCTATAAAGATACTACATGAGGTTAGGTAGTTTATAAACAAAAGAATTTTAATTGACGCAGATTACCACTTGGCTGGCGAGACCTCAGGAAACTTTCAATCTCGGCACAAGGCAAAGTGGAAGCAAGGTATATCTTACATGGTGACAGGAGAAAGAGAACGTGTACAGGGGAAACTGCCAAACGGTTTGAAAACCATTAGCACTTGTGAGAACTCACTGTCAAGGGGACAGCATGGGGGAAACCATCCCCATGATCTAATCATGATGTGTGGAGATTACAATTTGAGAGGAGATGTAAGTGAGAACACAGAGCCAAACCATATCACCTACCTTCAAATTACACTAAAAACCATAGCAACCAAAGGAGCATAGTATTGGCATAAAAGAGATGTATGGACCAAGAGAACAGAACAGAGAACCCAGAAGTAAATTCACACATCAGCAGTGAACGCATTTTTGACAAAGGTGCCGAGAATGTACCTTGGGGAAAGAACAGCCTCTTCAGTAAATGGTGCGGAGAAAACTGGGTATCCACATGCAGAGGAAAGAAGCTAGAACCCTATCTCTTGCCACATTTAAAAAACATATCAAAATGGATTAAAGACTTAAATCTAAGACTTCAAACTATGAAACTACTACAAGAAAACATTGAAGAAAATCTCCACGACATTAGCCTGGGCAAAAATTTCTTGAGCAATACGCCTACAAGCAAGGGTAAGCAAAGCAAAAATGGACAAATGGGGTTATATCAAGTTAAAAAGCTTCCACGCAGCAAAGGATACAATTAAAAAGTGGGGAGACAACACACAGAATGGGAGAAAATATTTGTAAACTTCCCATCTGTCAAGGGATTAATAACCAGAATATATAAGGACATTAAACAATTTTATAGGAAAAAATCTAATAATCTGATTTTAAAAAGGGTAACAAACTTGAATAGATATTTCTCAAAAGAAGACATACAGATGGCAAAGGGGCATATAAAAAGGCAC